GACTTTCACGAGTCAACGCTGGTTCGAGTCAGTCATAAGCCCCTCGAATTATTGATACATATCAAATGGGGGGTGCGCGTTTTTTTCATTGTGCCAAAAGAAACACGTACATGTAAAGAAAAAAAGTTGAAGGCGATGAATATTTCTTTCATTGAACCATTGATATGACCACAACGGTTTCAATATTTTTTTATTTTATTGTTGATTGAGTTCGATCTGCTGATCTGCATTTAAAAAAACGGATAGAAAAACAATTTTTAGCGATTTCAAATTTTTGGAGTAATCACAATACTTTACTGCAGACGCAGTGGGTGCGTGAGAAAAAGTAACATACGATGTTTGTGTACTCGTTATTAGATTGGAATTCAGAGAATTGTCAAATATAATGTTACTCAGCAGTAAAAGAATGCTGTATACGCATTTACGAATTGGAATAATCGAATATAATGAATGTTAATTATTTTTCGTCAAGAATGACGCAAAAAACATTTATAGTATAAATTGGCGAATATGACATTTTATATTCATAATCTTTCGCCACGTAAATTGTGTATAAGTATTTATTTCATCCAAAAAGTATACAGTTTCTCTTCAAACTTTGAACGAAATGTCGTTTTTGATTCGAGTAGTCATCGTTTCCCTTGCAATCTGCGTAAGTAATTAATTTTTCTAGAATTTATAATAAGTACTTTAAGACCTTTTCAGATAAATATCACCAAAAAATCAATTGAGAACAAAACATCTATTTCTGTGTCGAATAAGGTCTTATTATGCAAATGTGTAAAAAATAAAGGTAATTTCGATTAACTACACATATTAAACTATAAATTTCTTTATTTGATTTATACATTTTATTTATTTCGAATGTATAACAAAATATTTTGAATCGTACGGTAGCACAAAATATAAGTGCTCGGAAAAAGTTGCAATTTTTTCCATTTGAAACTTTTTATACGGATATCCAAAGTACTTTTTAGTGCGGATACATTCTTATCCATTGGCACCTTTGTCTCTTATTCTAATGCCTTACACCATCTTCATTGCAATTTAAGCAGGCGAAGAATGGTGGGAATATGGTCACTTCTATCATGTCTATGTGCGTTCATTCAAAGACAGCAACGGAGATGGCATCGGAGACCTAAATGGTCTCACCTCCCGACTACCTTACCTCAAGGACATTGGTGTAGACGGAGTTTTGTTGTCGCCAATAAATTCGAGTCCTTTGAAAGACTTCGGTTATGATGTATTAAATTATCTAGAAATACATTCGGATTACGGAACACTGGAAGATTTTTTGAAATTGGTTAAACGATGCAAAGAGTTGGATTTAAAATTGATTATGGATTTTATTCCCAACCATACATCCGATCAGCACGAGTGGTTCAAGAAATCCTCAAGAAATAATTCAAAATATAAAGACTATTACATTTGGCATGAGGGGAAAAGATTACCAAACGGAACTAGAGTTGAACCAAGCAATTGGCGCAGGTAAATTTTTTGAATTATACTTTCTTTATTTTTTGACACTTTTATTTATATTCTTAAATAAAAGCAACGAAAATGATATTCAAAAATGGTTAAACTGTTTCTTTTCATAAATTTGACCTCAGTGTGTTCGGCGGAAGTGCATGGACTTGGGTTGAGAGCAGACAACAGTATTATTTGCATCAATTCCTACCCGAACAGCCAGATCTTAATTTCCGAAATGAAGCTGTTGTTAAAGAAATGGAAGAAGTTATGAGATTTTGGCTACGAAAAGGCGCTGCTGGCTTTCGTGTTGATGCCGTTGGATATTTAATGGAATCTAAACCAAATAAGAAAGGATACTATGATGACGAACCATCGTTCGATATTCAAAATCCATTCAACAATCCGGGTTTGAATCTGAATCAAAATGGTCACGAAGGATTGAGACATATTCAGTAAAATCAGTTGGGAAAACTAACCGACGAAATACCTAATGTTTATATTTTTGCAGCACGAAAAATTTGGATGAATCATATGATTTGGTATATCGTTTCCATGATGTTGTCAAAGAAACGCAGTTTGCAAGCTTTCCACGGTGAGTGCAATGTCGTCACAGCTCTTGTTGAAAATTCATAAAAGTCACAACGATTGATATGTGCCAAATGATTGAAGAATTTTGATGACCGAAGACTACACCGATCGTATTGAGGACACATTGAAATATTTCGGAAAAATTCGATGGGGTAAGATAAGCAGAAATGGGGCCGAAGTTCCGTTCATATTTAACACGATACAAGATGCAAGACGTTCGTCGTCAGCTGGTTTTTTCAATAAAGCAATCAATAATTGCATGGGTCACATCAATAGCTATGCGAAAGAAGACAAAATACATCCGAATTGGATGGTAAGTTCACAAAACGTACTCGTTCACAAAAATTGCATTCAGGGCTGTACCGAACAAATATTTGTCCGTCCGACCGAACCATTCTTATAAAAGGCGTATGCCCGTTCAAGATGAATGGTGTGTGTTACCATTTGGTAATATGGCGACATACAGAATGGCTTTTTCGGACACTTTGTGTACCCTTTGCGATTCGCAATAAAATTTCCTCATTTTTAAACAAAATCAGTTAGGAAATCACGATGGCCAAAGAGTATCAACGAGATTCGGAGAAAACCGCACTGACCTGTTTAATATCCTGATAAAAACACTGCCGGGGATCAGTTTAACATATTATGTATGTCACCATTGATCAAAATCCACTTTCCACTTTTAAACCAGTAAAAATGATTGCAGGGTGAAGAAATTGGAATGACCGATGTACGTATTTCTGAGGAAGATAAAGTCGATCTAAATAGTCGTAATCGTGATACCTGTCGAACACCAATGCATTGGGATGGTAATACAAATGCGGGTTTCAGTACATTGAGTAAAGCTAGAAAAACGTGGCTTCCAATCGCTTTAAATTATGAACAAGTGAATGTCGAAGTGCAAGAGTCACAACCTCGCAGTCATTTGAATGTGTTTAAAAAGTTGAGTGAATTGCGAAAAAATCCAACATTGAAATATGGGGAACTGACAATCGAAAAGGATGGAAAAAATGTGCTTGCATACAAACGGCAAATCGATGGTGAGGGCGATATCGTTGCTGTTGTTCTTAATTTTGGTTCAAAGCTCGAATTTTTGAACGCAAAAAGACTTCTTCATGAACTTCCTGATCAAATGGAAGCATTTGTTTCTTCTATCCATTTCCATATCGAGTAATTATTCCTTGTTTACCGTACTATTTTGAGCATTTAGTCAAATAAAAACAAAATTATATTTTCTGATTAAAAGAGGTAATGTCGACACTCGTAAGCTGCAAATACCACCATATGCTGGACTTGTTTTAATTAAAAAGACAGATGTGAAATCGAAATCTCATCGATCCACACCGGCATCAACTTCAAAATCAAAATCATGGTTTTCATAAAAAAAAATTGGAAAAACAAATGCCCATCGGATGCCAAGACAAACTCTCAATCTCTTTTTAACTCTATTAGTATACGTATTGATGCTACACTCCATTTTGTGTATGAATAAAGTCCACATTTACTTTCGAAAATTTGGAATTTCAATTTATTTAGGTATATTGACAATTAGAGAAAAATTCCATTAAGCAGAATTTCGAATGACCACAATTTAACCATTTCTTCCGTAATTTATTTTATTGCAACATAATCAGGTAAAAATTCTATGATTAATGGTTTTTCGTTATAAAAGCAAAAACAATTGAAACCTTTTCATAAAATGCATACCTGCAATTAGGGGCGATCAGGTAATCGAAAAAAATGCTCATGTGCAGTTTATTTTGTGCAACCAAAGCAAACGCACGTGTCTGACCGTCTCTCTTGAATTTTGAATTGAATAGTTATAGTGGATTAATTCCAAGTGAACAGAAAGTGATGAAATTTCTTATATTTATTAAAGAGAAACTATAGCTGCCGGATTTTGTTCCTCTCCAAAATATTTTTTGGCCGATGGCATAATTTTAAATATTTGTGAGTTTTCCTTGCGCAGTGCGCACCCAAATTGAATTCACAATCCAATGTCACATAATTCGTACATAATTTGAGTTTCTGAAATGAAAATCCCCAAAAATGTCAAAATATGGCATTGAAATTACAAATTATGGCTTCGAACAAAAAAAAAATCTCAGAGACAAACAAAATCTTCGATGGAAATTGTTTGAAAATTGACAGAAAACAGATCATTAAAAAAATTAAAGCACCATCACCAAAAACATGATACTTTGGCATAAAGTGAAAGAATAGTGATCGAATACATTGTGAACGGACATG